GAAACCGAATATATGGTTTTTCTTTTTGAAGAGGAACTTTGGTTAAAATCATTAGCAGAAAATATGCATATAAACATTAATATCAGAGTCAATTATGACCTAGGAGGATAACAATGGACCTCAATAAGTATTACAAATAATCCAACAAATCACAAAAGATCAAATCATATTGAATCGATCGTAATTAATATAAAATATTAATTTGTCCACAGATAAACAACTAGCAGACATGTTTACCAAACCATTGATGCATGTGAAATTTGAGAAATTAGAATGGAATTAGGCTTAGTAAATAAGTTAAATGGTTTGATTAGGTTTATCTGGATTTTCCCTAATCCCGAGCAGCAAATGCTGGACCAGTAATTTTCCCCAGAAAATACACACATAAGGAAAGCAGGCCTATTTATGTTATACTAGGTTTAAGTTGTAATATTACACTTTTAGTATAATAGGGTAGTGGACAATTTTTTGAAACATTTTTTTTATTAATCTCCATAACAAAATAAATAGTAGTTGATGATTCTTTGATTTTAGAAAACAAAAATAAACCTAAAAAAAATTTAACAAATTTGTACTTATTTTAAACGCTATAATTTACCGCCCGGAAATTACGTCATAGCTGTTGTTTCTGACATTAATAAGAGTGGCGAGAGCGCGGTCTGTACGTCCTTATATTTTATATGCTTTTAGAAAAAGATGCAGATAAACTCAGACCGCTCTGATTGACAAATGGAAATCTCTCAAAAAGTGGGGTTAAGTTGAGGGTGCGCCTAGATGTAATGATAACCGACAGACGCTGATATATCTCTCTCTTTTGCACTAATGAATAAGTTTATATCGAATGTCGGAATTATGTTCAATTTAATTCATACTCCAATACAGCCAGCTATGACGTAAAATCAAGGCGCGAAATATTTCCGTTTGAATAGTGTGTCCCAAAACTCTAGTTTCACAGCCATTTTAAACAAAGTTATTAATTTTTTCTGAAATTTCTTTCGATACGAATATTTTTTATTTACTTCATAGATAAAGAATGGACCATCGATTTCATCAAAATTATACCTTGTCCACTACCCTATTGATCAAATTTTTGAGGTGGCGTGTTGAATAAACTGATATTCATATCAGTGGAACAAAAATTAATAAATTAAACTTTCATTATTAGTCTTTACTTTGCTAATTTATATCGCAGCTATGGATGACTGAATGTGTTTATAATAGTTTTTATATGTAAGGTAAACAGATGAGGAATCGGTTACTTAAAGGGTTTGCAATTCTTTGTTCTTGATGTTGAGTCAGTTCGTATAGTTATTTCTACGAGTTCACACGCTCTGCTTTCCACTCTGTGTTCGATATAATAAATATTTTGAATATCGATAATTAACAAGTTCTTTTATTTCTTAGTCCATTTCCCAACAGTTTAGCGATTCAAGCTACTTTTGGTCTGTAAACAAGCCTTTACGGAAACGTTGATCAGACCAATGAACATCAGACTAGCTCGATCACCAGCTGATATTATCTGTCTTTTTTCAATGGTGTTCATTGAAAAAAGATAAAATACAAACACCCGAGGCGTTTTCTCGCGTCCACTTTTTTAAAACTGGTTCAAAACTATTTTGAAACAGTACATTCTCGCGATAAACCCATGACATCACGTCAAAATTGGTTCAAATTGTTTCGAAATGCAATCTAATCCACATTTTCAAACCATTTTCTCACGCCGAGAAATTATGACGTCATGGTGACATTACTGAAACCAGTTTTGAAAAATGTTATGAAACATTTGAGACGCAAGAAAATGCCTCTGGTGATCGGGTGAAACGGATCAGTGTTTCTAAAAACGCCTAAAATCAAATGGCACTGCCGTCAATGTCGTTAACTCTGCATTATTTGGTTGGCACTACTGAATAAATTTTATTTGTTTAGCGCATTTCGCATGTTTCATTCTGACGGATTTTATTGACGGAAAAAAAAGGGTTTAACGGATTTTTGACGGAAATCTACAGCAAAGTTGACGGAATTAAAAAAATACTGTTGACAACACTGGTTCCTAAATACAATTACTACTGAAAAAAGCCACTTGCAGTGTTGCCAATCAGCGTGTAATTACACGATTTGCGTGTAGTAGGATTGACTTGCGTGTATTTTTCGAACATAAACAAAAAGCGTGTATTTTGCGTGTAATTTGAAAAACTTGACATTTTCTTTATTTTTGATCTGTTTCACGGCTTTTCAATCTAAAGCCACGGCTCCATTGTAACATAAATAGGACTTGTCGTTTTCTTTTCCCATTGGTCCTTGCACTTCTTTCCATTATTTTCTGTCTGTTATAAAGTCTATTAAGTGACTACCCTTATGTCACCTTATGGCTAGGCTCAAAACCAAGATTTCAGGAAACTCAAGGATAATACACACTTCTCAGGATTGCTTATCGGCCTCGTTTTTGGAAATAGGTTGCCTGAATAACTCTATGACGTCATCTGGAGTGTTCTAATATAATGCAAATCTCCATAAGGCACCCCAGTCATCAAGTTACTCATTATCAGACAACCTTGGGAACCTCGTCAAGACGAGAAACGACACGCTGCCTACGTCATCACTGGTGCTTTGGCATAGTGGGGGCTTGAGATTTGAACTACACATGCCTTATGAGGATAGGCTATCCTGTAGTAGTAGTGTGTATTATCCTTGCAGGAAACTGAGGTCCAAAAGTAACCACTTCTCCAGAAACCAGAGTAATTATAGTAATTTGATTATTTTCGAATCGCGTTTCTGTCGTTGCCACATCTTTATTTTTGGTTAAGAAGTTATAATCAGGAGCATTAACCCTCAGATGTGAGCCACTTTCCAGCTGTGTGCTTCAAGCACGGTGCAGCAGTGTTTGAAACGCAAAATTTAGCAGGTCTTCAAGCGCAGTACGGCTGGAACACGGACACGCGCTTGAAGCATTTGCGCGCGCAAAAGCTCGATTTTGTGCTCGAAAGCGTCAGCTGGAAAGCGGCTGTGATTGGATTTGACCCCTTTCCCAAAATCATAATATATCGCAAAAAAAATTATACTTGCTTCTTGATTTTGCAAAATAGGTACCAAAGTCGTGTGCAAAAATCGTGTAATTGTGAGACTGCAAGCGTGTAAAAACGTGTAATTTGACCAGCATATCGTGTAATTTCACAAAATCAGATTGGCAACACTGGCCACTTGTTGCAGTATCCCCTTGCAGGTGTTCAACTTGCAACACCCAGTTTTTTTTTAAAATATATATCAAATAATAATGTTGTTCAAAGTTTTTTTGCTAGAATCGGATACTAGACCACAAGACTAAAATTTTGGCACCAATTAGGTCAAATTCGACAAAAAATAAAGAAGGTATCGGCAAAAGAATTTTGAAAATGTTGCAACTAACCCCACCTTACGGTATGTTGTCTAATTACGATACTAACCTGACTCACTCAAATATGAGTTATTCTCATTAGTTTAAAAACTACATGTTTCAGGAGAATGTCTTACTTGAATAGTTCCACAGTATATTGGTGAATAGATGGCTAGTTCTGCAATAATCCACTTATTTGTATGTACATATCTATGTAGGTACCTTATGATTTAGATTTTTGCAGTTTGAAGACCCACAACTTATTTTTCTATTATAGATAGAAAGCTGAAATTTTCAGCGATATTTAGCTTCGTAAAGACCTACAATCCCCTTTTCTGATCAAAAAGGCACTGGAAAAACGGAAAATCCAAAGAAAAATCAACGAAAATTACATTCCAAAGCCTATGTGATAAAACTAAAGTTTCTGTTACTTACCCCGAAAATCTTTAACAGAAAATAAAGGAAACTCAAAGCCTCGCACTTTGAACCAGTTTTCCCGACTGAAAACGACCTAGAAAAGCGGAAAATTCGAGAAAAAACTGGATAAAAACACTCAATATAGCCGACTGTCAAAAGTGATAAATGACATTATTTCCAAGGCCTACTTGATCAAAACCTAGTGAAGTTAGCCACAAGCGGTGTTACCATATCAAAACTTCAAAAAAAAAGTATTCAAAGTGGAATTTTGCTTGAAATTTCATGAAATAATCAATTAATAATGATTTTGAAACAATAAATTTCCTTTTGATCGTAAATTATGGCATTTAAAACTGAAAAATGAAGAAAACTCAAAGTTTCGCACTTTAAACCAATTTTCCCGACTGAAAACGACTTGGAAAAGCGAATAATTTTGGATAAAAACACTCAATATAACCAAATATCAAAAGTGGCAAATGACATAAGGTACATTCTTGTCTAAGGGTACATTACATAACAAGGCCTACTTGACTGAAAGCGACGTTGCCATAATTACAATCTAAAACAGAATGTTTTTTCCTCAATTTCCGACGACTTTTCATCCTGAAAAAGTAACAAATTTTCATTTTCCAATGTTAATATGATTATATTTTTGGCAAAAACAGTAAGACAAAGAAGGAAATAAGGTATGATATATTTTCAAAAACAGCAAATACGATTATAAATTAGTAAGACAAAGAGGGAGATAAATTAGGGTACAATTTTGTTTTTACACCTTTCTTCTACCTTTGAAGGTAAAAGCTGTAGGTCAATATGTAAAAAAACACCCTAAACCTACCTATTTAAAATCACCTTATTCTCCTAAATAATTCCATATTTTCATGGGCCATTCCTTCGAAAAACCGTATCTTGCACAATGCGCTTCCAAAACTAACCCAATCTGGCTTAATTTGGTTTACTTTAACTTAAACTGCCCCCCTCCTTTTAAAAGACCTGTATCCGCCCCTGGCACGTATCCAGCCAGAATCATGCATGCTGTTTTTGGGGAGTCAATTGTCTCCACCTTCATAAGAAGGGCTGGACTGATGGGGGAAATATACTCGGATTGAACCACAATAGACCGTAGGTCGCAGTGGAAGGGACCACTCACAAGAAACCTGTAAGTACTGTGGCGTGGTACTTCATGATGGTTGCAAAAAAAAACTATAACACCTTCCTCTAAGAAATATATATTTATTATTTTATTAAAGGATAAAAATACGAATAAATATCCTTTTTTTTTTTTGAGTTATTTTAATCAACATCCATTATAGTTATACGGGGAATTACAACACTATTCGTTGTAAACCCACCAGTCCTTTTCGTATCCTTCGTGCACGTGTCTGAGCAAAGCCTTTTGCCTACCATCGCAGTACCGGTACTTGTCCTGCACCTTTTGCTTAATGTCCACCAAATTCTCTTGAGTGATGTCGCGTTCGAGGTACTCGCTCAACAGTTCGGTGGCGCGTTCCAAATCTTTTTGGTTCTCCTCGAATATCACAGACTGATTGGTTTTTTTCAAATAGTACGCAAACACATAGGTGTACATTAAAGTTTGACGGCACTGGCACAAAATGTCCACCGCCTTTTTCAAAAATTGCACTTCGATCCAGCTCATGTTGTGCTGCTGCATCTCTTCCATTTTGTCTTTGACAGCGGCGTAGAGCTTGTGCTCGAATTTGAGCGATTGCATGTGGTTCATGTAACGGTTACAGTAGAACAAGTAACGTTGTAAGGCTGCGCGAGATTCTTCTTGCGCATCCCTTGCCGATTTTGCTTCGTCTTCGTCATACCGATTACAATTGTACCTATATAATAAGTGTTAACAACGTATTGGAATTTGGAAAATTAAGTGAAAAGAAATTGCGCATGGGAAAAACGATGGTTATGAGTGAAGCACAAAGATAATTTCTTACCATGAACTGCCATGTGGTTCCCAAGGTCCCAAACAAACCCAGCAAAAGTCGGCTTTACAATTCTGATTTTTACAAACCATGTGATTGCAGCCGCCATCTTTTTCTATTGTCGCGTTACATCTGGGACACTCTTTGGTGTTGGCCGCAATCCAGTTGGAAGTTTCCGAATCGTCGTCGCACTTTTTTTGCCAGTTTTTCAGTTGGGCGCACTTGACGGGGTCGTGCCAGTTTTCGCCGCAGTTGAAACAGAACTGGTGGCCGCACTGACAGCATACGGGTTTCGTGTCGACGTAAGTGACCTGAAAAATGATAATTAGGCATTTGGAAAAGTGACAAAATGTGAACATATGATGGAAATTTTGTCAGACTTTGGAGAGATTTGCGTATGCATTAATTTCTTCTGGAACTCGACCCAAGCTCGGCGAGCTACCGCATTGGCGCCCAACGTGGGGCCGGAAGAATGAAACTGATTTGGAGTTGATTTTGGAATTGAATAGGAATAATTGTTCCTATAGTACCTACAGTAGCAGTTCAAGCACATAATGATCAAAGTTCAAACAACCTTGAGCGCAATGCAGGGATTGCAGAATCTTGAGTTAGCATACCTGACATACTATGGAGTGGTTCGGCTGTACTAATGAATTTTGAAGATATGCGACACGCGTAAAAGCGGTAAAATCGGAAAGTTTTTATAAGAGAATTGAAGTTAAACTTTTTAGGGTCAGTTTCTCAATAACGAGTCACTTCCGGGTTGGTTTTAACTCCAGGGTAAACGTGTTCAGCTGCAATGTTTACCCAGAGGTGACTTATTATTAAGAAATTGGCCCTTTGGCGGCGGTCTGATATTTGAACAAGAATGGAGACACAGCCGAACAATTGACACAAACTAAGGATTATAAGCAAAGAGGATTGCCTATTATTGTCAAGTGCTGAGACCTTTGGGACGTCACTGAAGATGCGCGTCTCGCTTTTATGAGGCCCTTCGTCTTTACCCTGATTCATACTCTCAAGTCTAAAAGCTGTATGAAATTTTTGAAAATTGAGGTAAAGCCTACAGGACGCCATTACCAAAATGGTAGCTATAAAGCCTACTATGATATTTTCTGAAACGCGAAATAGCGCTAACATGGCCGCCTATGACAGTTTTTGCTCACATTTCTTAGAAAATTGAAAATATTGTCATGTTGGCTGTGGTAGATTCAATGCCCCACATACAAAAGGATTTGAAATCAGAAATTATTGGATTAAGACAAGTTTAAAATGGCCGCCCAAGGCCTCCTTTGACGTTTTTGAAAGGCGAAGTTTGCTTGTATAGGGCCGCCTATAAGATCAGCATTCGAAAAACACAATTTCAAAATGGTCGCCCAAAGCCTACTTTGACATTTTGGGAAGGTGAAGTTTTCTAAATGTTTAATCAACATAAAATTTGAATTACACATTTCGAAATTTCAACATAAAATTTAATTAAGTCTGAAATGTCTACATATTATAAAATCCACAATTTGTTATAAATTTGGCAAGGTAATCAAAGTATCACAAACCTTGCCCAAATTTACTAAAAAACCACGATTCATCATTCACGGCGTCAGTCAGCTTAATTTCCGTAATGATACAGTGTAGCACCAATGTTTTAGATACCTGCTTAAACAAGGTCAACACACAGTTCATTGTTATTAGTTATGATAAATATAATAAGGTTCAAGTTGAAATGTACAATATAAATAGGAACCAATTTGATTAATAAAACCAGTATTGAACAATATTAGTTGGGTACTCATTTAATTACGCAAATTAGTCATTTGTGATAATTATCCACAAAGTCCGTCTCAAGAGCTTTGTACTCGTTATCTTGGTTAAAGGTAACTAGTGATCTTCAGGGAATTATTCCTGAACGTCACGCCCAGAGATACGGACCTTGGAGGCCTTACAACCCTCTAGTGAACTACAACAAAGGTCCCAACTCTGTTCATATGGCCGCCTATGCCAATTTTCACATACCTGTATTGATATTTTTCTCGAAAACTTTTCCGGATTATTCACAACTTCCAAATATCAATATCAAGGCAGTTTTTTTGAATTCGTACCTTATTTCAAAACTATATACATACAGGGTGTCCCACTAGGAACCAAATCGATCTACATACAGTTTTTGATACCTATAGATCGATTTGGTTCCCGGTTAGAGTGGTGGGACACCCTGTATATGTGTTCGCCCAGATTGCAAAATTTTTATTAAAAACTAAAAGGTCCGAATCAATGAAATACGCTTACCACTCGATTATCCACAATTATTGCCTTTAACTCACAGACTAGTAAAATAATCACAAATGCGAAAAATAACTCACTAATTGGCAACCTTGCTGCCATCTGTGACAAGTGACAAACGCAATTTCAAAATGGCCTCAGTGTTTTAAAACGTAATGATAATCTTGACATCAGAAATTCTATTTTACATGATAGATGGTAATCAACGTCACGTCCCTAAAATAGAATTCTATCCAATAGATCTGCTATTCATTTACAGCTGAACAAAGTTGCGTGCGCAATTGTTTTAATTGGCTTTAGCAGCCAGGTAAGAATTTGAAAGATGGAAAGACACTGATGACAGTTTTTGAAATGACACTTCTCAGGCGACGGTGTGACATATGGACTAGAATGGAAAGTAATTTGATAGAGAAGAAGGATAAATAACCTAGAAAGACAGGAAACGTTAAGTTTTGGCATATTTCGTTACACGAGAGAGAAGAAAGATATAACGTAGAGAGATGGAGAAGAACAGCCATATTATATTTGGGGCGTAACAATACTTGATAATGATAGCCGAGAAGAAGGATATAACCTAGAGATATGGAGAAAGACAGGAAACTTTACGTTTTAGCAAACTTCGTTACACTTGGGAGAAAATAGATATAACGTAGAGAGACGGAGAAAACAGTCATATATTTGGGGTGTAACGATACTTGACAATGACAGCCGATGAACGATTGACACAAACCAAGGATTATAAACAAAGGGGATTGTGTAATTTTATTTTTTTTTCCAAATTTTCAAAGAGTCAATTGTCTGCCTACTGCCTAAATAGGGCGGGTATAAAAAAACTGCTTTGACAGTTTCGGCAGAAAATAAAAACCACTCGAAGCCTCGTACTTTAAATCGGTTTTCCTTATCAGAAAAGCGGAAAATCTAAAGAAAAACCATTAAAAAATGACATTCCAAAGCCTACTTGATAAAACTTAAGTTTTTGTTACTTACCCCGTTGAAAAACTTGAAATTTTTGATACAAAATAAAGGAAACTCAAAGCCTCGTACTTTAAATCGATTTTCCCGATCAAAAACAGCCCGGAAAAGTGGAAAATTCGAGGAAAAACTGGATAAAAATGTAAACACGTGAAATGATAATGGCCGACTGTCAAAAATGACAAATGATATTTATAACAAGGCCTCCTTGATTGAAGTTAAATGGGATTTTGCTAATTATGGCATTTAAAAGTGGAAATGTTTGCTACAAAATGAAGAAAACTCAAAGCCTCGTATGTTAAATCGCTTTTTTCTATTAAAAATCCCCGGAAAAGTCGAAAATTCGAGGAAAAACTGGCAAAAAATCACAAGACGTCACTTCAAAATGGCCGACTGAAAGCAACATTGCCACATTACATCTCGGAAAACAAAAATACCATTTTAAATGAGTTGTTTGTTCAAAATTCAATTAAAAATTGTTGAATAATTAATAAATAATGAATATTATTATGAAAAATTCCCTAGATAAAGCATCGGAAACTTGTTTTTAGTTTAATTTCAATGAAAATGACATTACAAGGTTTACTTGTTGATTATAGTGAGTAAGACAAAGATAACGATAAAGTAGTATATGTTTGCAAAAACCACCGTTTTCTGAAAAAAGTAAAAATCTTAAGAAAACCCAATAGAAAACCAACATTCCAAAGTCAACTTGATGAAACTAAGTTTTTGAAAACCTATTCCTGGCTTTTTGATTGGGCGCTAAAAATCGCATTTTGAATATTCCCGGATTTGATTGGCTCCAAATTATCCGCTGACCAATAGAATTATAAACTGGGTCCCGTGATTGAAATAACTCCGGCCCTTCGGGCTCTCGTATAACTCCGGCCCTTCGGGCTCGCATATAATTAACAGTTTTCCCGATCGAAACCGGCCTGGAAAAGTGGAAAATTCGAGGAGAAACTAGATAAAAACACTCGAAAATGGCCGACTGTCGAAAATGCCAAATGACATTACATTACAAGATCTACTTGATCAAAAGCGACGTTGCCATAATTACAATCCTAAACATAATGTTTTTCCAGATTTTCGTGAGTAAAACAAAGAAGAAGATAGGGTAGGAAAGATATATATTTCTCTATGGTAGGATACATTAGTGAAAAACCAAAAGCAATTATAAATGAGTAAGATAAAGAGCGAGATAAAGTAGGAAACAATTTAAAATGATCAGTTAGTCGAGCCAAACTATCATCAGAGTAAATTTTCGATTGTTCTCGGTTCAAACACTAGAATAATTACTTATTTTTTTTTTTTTTGACAACTGACAAGCCTATATACAATATTATGACTTTTGACAATTAACGAGTTAATTTTTAGGTCCACCTACGATTGTTATGACTTTTTTTGTCAATTGACAGCCTTGTGATTCTGATTGAGGTCTACAACAGCAACGCTGCCACATTTTAACGGTAATTTTGGAGCATTTGTAATTGTAAATGTAAAAGGTTGACAAGTGGCAATTGACATCAAGAAACAATTGTTATGATGTTGTAGGCTGATTGAAATTTTCAACTTTTGGCAACACTGTAACGCTAGAGGATTGAAATGGCGTTTTTTTTTTTTTAAATCATGAGCCCGAAGGGCGACAGTGTTTTCAATCTTGAGCCCACAGGGCAACAAAGAAACGCCATTTTGAAAAGAAGAAAAATATATTATTTAGGGATTCAAGACAAAATTTGGCATTCTCAGTGAGTGGTGGTGCTAGCATAAAGGCCCAAAAGAGACCGAGAGATATTGTCATACGGAAATTTTGTTTATTATTCCGTCTATCTGTGGTTCGATGCCATTGGAGCAGACGCACTTGTAGGTATTCTACTTGGTACTCCACACTCCACGGACTTGTTTCCTAAAGTGAGGGGGAGAAATAATAGACCTATCTTTTTTGGCAGTGGCTAGGTAGCCGGTACCGGTGACTGTTTTCGAGGCCGGTAGTTACCCAGGTCGAAATTCAGTGGGCGGAACTACCGGTTAGGAACTTCGTTGCCGGTACTAAACTTTCATA